GCGATACTGGGATAACCAAACTGACTGACAACATAAGCATCGATCCTTTGTCTATCACTTTTTGAAACATTATTGCACCACTCACTGATGAACGCAATGGCATTCTGCACTTAGGCGATGTAAACAACGTCCTGGACAATCAGTTGAGGATTATGCTACCGATATCGAATCCTTATACCTTAAATTAGATCCAGATTATAATACACCTGAGGATGAGAAGATTGAACAATTTCTGCAAGGACTTTGACCTGAATTTCATACTGCAATCGCTGCCGCCGCATCACGTGACTTAAAGGAAGCTATTGATCGAACACGAGCTGTTGAAGCAGTATTATCTAAAGATAGTACACTCTCAGATTACTCCTTAAGCAAAGCATATCTAACACAGAATGACGATGATACTCCTGAACCCTTCAATACTACTCCAAACATGCAACAACTAATCAATAAAAATAATAAAAAGTTACTAAAAGAGTTTAAGCAACTTCTGACTACTTCCAGCACTACTCCACGATCTCAAACTACACCTTTCCACCCCGCGAATACTAATAATAACTGGAAAAATAATAATAATACCAATAGTTATAATAGTGGTAATAATAATAATCGTAACAACAATAATCAGACTACCTCAAGTTGTTATAACTGTGGACAAACTGGACATTTTGCTTGGAACTGTACTCAACAGAGAAATTTCCAAAACAACCAAATTAATAGAGGAAACAACCGATATTCTCCAAATAATACCTCAAACGTAGGAATGAGTTGCCATAATTGCCAACAGCCAGGACATATAGCTAGAAACTGTAATAACCTACCTAGGGAACCATGTCCTTTCTGCAGTCAGTTTGGACATTGGGGAAGGGTATGCCCAATAGAAATAACAATACTAGTAATACCAATCGAAATACATCGAATAGGTATAATAATATTAATAATGGACAATGTGCTACACTCTCTCAAACTACGCCAATATACAGTTCGACGTTTACGCCTTTCCCTCAAACTTCAGTGACCTTTCCAGTACCAAATCCACCACCAGTAATTAATAATAATACCTTCTCATCTTCGTCGCAGTTTTTAAACTATTAACGGTACCTTTAGAGGGTGAGCGTACCAATGAATATATAAACCCTTAGAATAACCAAAAGCAGTTGAAGCCATTTATTGCAGTATCACAGTGGACAATAAACCAATTTATTTAATATTAGATTCTGGATCAGCGGGAAGTGTAATGTCTAAAGCATTTTTACAACAATTAGGACGAAAAATTAAATCTGTATCTATAATAACAATGATTAATATACAAGGTGGACGATCTCGACCTCTAGGACGAGTTACAAATATTCCCTTACAATTAAATGGAGTAGAAATTCCAATTAATGTAAATATTACTGAATCAACTGACTACTACATTGTAGCAGGAAATGACTGGCTTTCAAAATGCTGAGGGTGACTTTATTGGGACTATCAAAAATTTACATTTTATTAGAACAATAAAGAGCATCAAGTACCAATAACTTGTTGGGAAAAACCACAATTCGATCATTTCCAACAACCAGTAGTTATTACAAATAAATCAGCTGACAATAATGAAGAATATGAAGATGAAGAGTTAATAGCCCAACGACATTATGTGGTATTTGGAGACCAAGATGATTTAACTCCTTTAGCTGAAAGTAATCCTAAACAAATTTCTGTAGAAGGACAAAAGTATTCACCCCAATACTTTGAAAGTCTAAAACAAAAATTTGGAGTTCACCCACCTGAAAATGCTAAGTGGAAATTCAATTAGCAAGGACCAGGAAATCGATGTTGGTGTCATAACAAATTAGATAAAAGTGATGATATTTGCCAACTTTGTAAAAAGGAATGGGATCACTGGCAATTATTGCAAAACATTCCTGATGAACCACCAATTCAAGTAAATACATATTCCCACCTGAATGAGCACCAGCAACTACAAATCACCAAATTCCTTAATAAAAATAAAGATGCTTTTGCTAATGACCTATCTCAACTGGGACATACCACAATAGAAAATCATCATATTCTAGTAGAAAATCCAATGCCAATATGACAGTGTGCATATCAAGTAGCTCCCTTAGAACAAGAATTCATTAAAGAAGAAGTTGATAGAATGTTGAAACATAATTTAATTCAACGTTCTGAAAGCCCTTGGGTCTCACTAGTTATTCTAGTAAGGAAAAAGAATGGAAAACTTCAATTTTGTATCGATTATAGGAAACTAAATAGTGTTACCCAACGGGATGGACATCCTTTACCTCGCATCGACAAATTACTTAATATGTTTGAAAAAGCAAAGTATTTTTCAACATTAGATTTAGCAAGCGGATATTGGCAGGTTGCTATGGACCCAAATGATCAAGCCAAAATAGCATTTATAACTAGTCAAGAACTTTATGAATTTAAAGTTATGCCATTCGGATTAACAAATGCCCCTGCGACCTTTCAACGTCTGATGAATAAAATCTTTAGAGAAGAAATTGGATGATTTGTAACTGTATATCTCGATAATATTATTATTTTCTCAATTACCTTCGATGAACACCTACAGAATTTGCAATTAATATTTAAAAGATTAAAGGATGCTGAATTAAAACTTGGAAAAGATAAATGCAATTTTGCTAAATTAGAATTAGCATTCTTGGGACATATTGTTAGTGGGCAAGGAATTTTCCCTGACCCTTCCAAAATTGACAAAATCAAGAATTTTCCTATTCCAAAGAATATTACTGATCCAATTAAAAAGAAATAACACTCTGACACCCTGTCTAACAGTTATAATTCGCAAGAATTACACGTTAACATTTAGCGACGATGACAGGACTCTCTTTTTCTAATTGCGTAGTAATATCCTAAGAGAATACTACATAAATACCTTTAAGAACTTATTTGAAATTCAGCAAACACCTTACACACAACATTTATCGAAAGAACAGAACAACCAACTAAAAATCACCTTTGTGGATGACGCATTGTGTATTATTTGTTATCCCCTAACCGTTCTATCAGAACAAACTCTTGCCTTTCGTGTCTTTCTTAAGTGAACTCGTCTTATACTTGGAGCTCGACAATACACTAGTAAAACTATAACTGAGTTCGATTCAGCTAATAATTCACCAACTCTAGAGTTACAAATATTCTATTATCGACGCGTATTATACTCTTTTATGTATAATAAATTACCTTCTTACACTTTTGACCAAGCTATCAATTTAGCAGTACAAACGCATCGTCAGACTAACGCATTTAATAAGGATTCTGGAAGCACTATTTTTGAATACTTTGAAACTCCTACATCAAATGTACCTCCCTCACCTTCACCAGTTATTTTGGGAACAACTACAATAACTAGGCCAAAAGGATTAACTACTGAGACTGTTAGGCCACAAGCCCCTCCAGAACCATTGGATACAACTGAAGACAACCATTCTCTTTCTGGAGATGACACTGAAAATTATGATGAAAGCTATCCACCACCAGATAATGTTCTTACAGCACAAGTTACTCCTAGTGGAAGTAGACATGTGGACTTTCATGAGTCTACTTTTTCTTATGGAAGCTTTAGAAATTATAGGAATCAAAATAGCCCGCTTCCTTCCAGAACTGGACAAAATAACCCACCCCTTTCTGAAACTGAACAAACTAGCCTACCTCCCTCTGGAACTGGGCAAACTAAGCAATCTTCCTTTAGAATAAGATAAGCTAACCAACTGCCTTCAGATAAAAGGCAATCTAACAAATCTTCATTGGAAACTGGACAATCTGGCCCAATTTCATCCAAATCGAAAATAAAGGAACCACTTCCAGTCAAAAGAATTCCAATAAGTCTAGCTCATCTAAATCGGGGTCACCTCTATCTCAAAGTCAGCCTGAAAAGAAAAAGTCAGACAAAAAGAGGAGAAGCCGTTGTTTTCCTTCCTATTACGACAGTTCATCTTTATCATCTAGCTCTGAATCAGAGCATAATAGTTTTGACAATAATGAATCTGAAAATGATCCTTTCGATGAAAATAATGCGACCAGTCAAAGTCAACTTGACCTCTTCCGAATGATGAAAGAACTGACCACTGTTTTCAAAAATGTTGGATTGGGTGGACAATGTGAAGGTAAATTCGTGGATTTCCCTTCTTTTAAAGGTGGAGACCAAGACCCTTGTAATTGGTTAGAAAGATATAATAATACAGGTGACACAAACGGCATCTCGAATAAGAGACGTCTTACTCTAGTACAATCATTTTTAAAGGCCTCAGCTCTTACCTAGTACAATAAAACCAGAAACGAAAAAGATTTGCGATACTGGGATAACCAAACTGACTGACAACATAAGCATCGATCCTTTGTCTATCACTTTTTGAA